GGCGGGTGCGAAATGCGTCAGGAACACCTCTCTCGCCCTGTCATATCGCCCTTCAGCACTTGAACGCCTCGAGGACACAGAGACCGGGCCACAATGGCATTCGTCGTTGCGATAGCCGGGATGATGTTGCCGGCCATCTGCTTGATGTCAAACTTGGACTTGCGGTCAATGCCGAACAATGTCGACCTGATATTTGCGCTTGCGGCGACAAAATCCAGCGTGTCCTCATCATCCTTGTCAAAAGTGATGATCGCGTCTGGAGGACCATCCCCTGTATTCTTCATGTCGAGGACTCGCTTGCTCAGCCGATCTAGGCTGTCGTTCAACACGACCAAGTTCTCTTCCAGCGACCAGACCTTCTGGTCATCCTTCAAGACCGCTTCCTTGGACGCTAGCGCTTCCTTGGCCTTCTCCAACAGATCTTTGTAATCGAGCGGCTCCGGCGGCTTCCTCGACTTCCACATATCCTCCATTGACCGCAGCCGAACGATATCGGTGTTGAAAACCTTGTTGAAAAGCATCTCATGGAATTCGGGGTTGCCGACCGAGTCGCGGATTCTCCGTAGCGCTTCGGACTCGCGCTTCAGTTCCGCAATCTCCTGCGCGTTCTCGGCATCGGATGAGTGGTCAAAAGCCGATTCGTCCTCGCTTGTCCCAAAGATCTCGTTCAGAAGATAGCTCTTGCCCCAGACGATGCAGTGGATCGGTTGGCTCGGGGTGCTGCGAATGGTACAGACGGGGAATGACTTGGGTGTCTCCTTTGGTGAGCAGTCGTAGCACGCCGTGACCCCCTTCTTGATGACCTGGACCTGGCCATTGAAACCGGTGGTCCCGCTCTCGATCAGAGGCACGTCGGCGGCCAGGCACATCTTGTTGACATGGCGCCGCGCCTCGAGGTTGTCCAGCGCGTTGAACACTATTCTGAAGCTGCTAAACCATGCAATGCTGAACTCGGCGTCTTTGATGTTGGCATGATGGGCGACGATCTTGACTGCCGGATTAAACTTTTCGGCAACTTCCTTTGCGACCTAATACCGCACTTGTTAATCCAAGCCCGGCCTGCTCAACAGTTGTGGGACCCATACCAGTGCCTTCGATTTCTTGATATGCTCTTGGCGGAAGAGGAACTGTCGGTTGAGGTTGCTGAGGTCGATTGTGTCGAGGTCAACGACGTGAACCTCTCCGAAGCCGGTAAGAACAAGGTTTTTGAGGAGTTCGCATCCGATGCCGCCAGCGCCAACCATCAACACTCGCGACTGTTTTGGCTGGGTTAGTTCCGGCACTGGGTCAAGTTCCATGTCGGACGACATCTCGGGGGAGGGTATGCGATGCGATCAAACAAGGCAAAGAAACAACTAGGTAGGCAGTAAAGGGTGTCCGGATACGAAGGATAATGATGCGAAAAACGATCGGTGCCCGGGAAGAAGAGGAACGGATAGTTGGGGGTCTGGTAGGTTGTAGAAGATGGAGGGGTTACCCTCGGAGCGAAGCTGTAGATGGGGTGGGTGCACGACGAACGAAGCCATTGACTTTCGGGTACCCACCTGTTTAACATGCGCGTTCAAACCGCGACCCAGCGATTGCGAATTAAAACTGTCGCGAGTCAGTGAAGGCAGCGCCATGACTGGCACAACCGGGGCAAGCGGCGCAACCAAGGCTGCGTTGCCGTCAATGGCTAGCGTTGGATCCATGATGCAATGATCCCCCGGCGGAGGGGAAAGAAGAATTAAGAGGTGTTGAAAAGTAGACCGCAGGTTGCACACTAAGGCCAGTGCCCTATGTTAAAGCCATCGGAAGAGTGTGGTCAAAAGGGGTGAGGAATTGGCTTGGGCCTTGAGAGCCTTGTCGTGGTGGTTTGTCGCATCAAGAACCAGGCAGCTTGTCGCATTCAAAGAGTGAGTGGGTCAACGCGGCAACCACAGCGCGACGGGCGGGTTGGTTGAGAGTGGTTGGTCCGAGCGCGAGCCCCACCAACATTGAACGGAAACCGAGGAAGGAGCTCAATTGCAGTCAGTTTAAAACAGCAACTCTTTGTGCAACCCCTCTAGATATTTAAGGTGCCTTATCTATCTTGTCTCAGTTTTCCCCCGTTCTCTTTACCGCGAGCGGCGTACTTGGCGCCACCAGGCATTTTGAAACTTCCGTTGACTTCCATCCATCGAATTGGATCCCCAGTCAGGTTGGTAACTTTCCTATTGGCCGCCCTGCCATATTTGGGTCCACTCCATCAGTCGCCTCAACCTTGAATGTGGGCAAGTTCAGATGCAAGTCTCAATCTGTCAGGGGACATGAACATCCGCAGCCGCCTGCGAGCCCTTGTGCATACACATACAAGATGATATCCGATTTATTAATTGTTTCAAGCTTGGGTATAGTATGCTCGAAATGATCTGGATAACTAACAAAAATATGACATGACACCATGACCTTTCTTTGACGTGGCCAAATTTGTGCAGAGATTGTGAAATCTCGGTGCACGTTCCCCCTTTTCAACAATTCCAACTCTCACTATTTGCCCCGTTTGACACCAAGACTCATCCACCATTCCCACACCCAACCAACTTCCTATTCCCAATTTCTATCCACAACCCCCCTTCCACGTTCAAGCCATCCCAAAATGTCAGACGACGAACCCGATCTCGAACTGCTTGCCCTCCTCCGGCAGCACCTGCAGGGCAAGCTCAACCTCAACGAGGAGCCCGAGACAGGCGTGCTCGAGGGGGCAGAGTATGTCTACGACAACTCCATCGACGTTGCCCTGGACATGCGCTCGTGCAAGAACGCGGCCGCCGTCATCTACGCGCAGATGCAGCAGAAGCAGTTCTCGCTCGCCTCTTGGTCGGACCACGAGCTGCATCCCGACCGGTTCGACATCGGGGACGAGGACACCGTCGCCTTTGTCTTCACCATGGACCTGCTGAACTTTTCCTTCTGGTCGGAGAAGTCCGGGGCGGAGCGGTTTGCGGTCGAGTACCGCGGCAAGCGGTGGACGGGGTATTGGAGCTTGGTGGCTGCGATGCAACGGGCGATAGACGAAGGTAGGTCAATGATGATGTCCGTTGTGTTTGTACAGTATCCCTGTCGGGAATTGAATGAGACCCTAATTAGCATATTACGAAGGAATTCCCATTACGGACCCGCATTTCTGGCAGAATGAAGAGGAATGCACCTTGGACGTCCTGAAAAAGGTCTTCAGGTCGTGCACTGACGAGGAGATGCCGTTGTTGGCAGAACGGCTAGCCTGTCTGCGTGAGGCTGGGCAGGTGCTGTATGAAGTATGTTGTCAGTTCGTCGAGAGGACCGTTGTCAGGAGTGTGTCCTCCTCTTGCGGGTCGAAATCTAACATGCCCCTCAGAAATACCAATGCCACCCCATAAACTTGGTGGACGCGGCGAATGGATCCGCTGCCGGCTTGGTCAACATTCTGGCGCGGGACTTCAAGTGCTTTCGCGATGAGCACACTTTTGAGGGACGGCGGAAACCAATTCGCTTCCTCAAACGGGCTCAGATCCTGGTTGCCGACCTCTGGGCCTGCTTCGAGGGCGAGGACTACGGAGAGTTCCGGGATATCGACAAGATTACCATGTTTGCGGACTACCGCGTGCCCCAGATTCTACACAATATGGGGTGCCTTTACTACAGCCCCGCGTTGGATCTCGCCATACGAGCTAAAAAGGACATCCCGCAAGGAGGGAGCTGGGAAATGCAGCTACGAGGTAGGAGTGTCGGCTATCCGGATAGAGGCTTTATGCTAACTTTTCCCAGCTTGTAGCATTTGGTGTGTAGAATTGCTCCGCAGGGAGATTGCGAAACAACACCCCAAAACTCACATCAACGCCATCCTCTTGGATTTCTTCCTGTACGACACGATGAAGGAAATGGAAGACTCAGGAAAGGAGATTGTCCCACATCACCAGACAAGAAGTATCTGGTACTGAAGTGTTTGCTAGATATGTTAGAAGAACTGATCTCCAGCCAGTTCGACGGCAAAGGACAAAGCTAGACAATTCCCCAGGGTTAGAGGCCAAAAGCAAATTAGACAAATCGTTCCTTTCCACCAACTCCCAAACTCCTTTCTGCAAGCAATCATGGCCATCGTATAACTCCTGCAAATCCCGGCGCGGCGCCCCTGCTCGCCGCCTCATACCCCAACTGACCCAACCGCCGCCGAGTTCAGAAGCTCATCCATATGCGCCTTCTCAATCTCCGTATTCCCCTTCGCCTCCTCCTTCAACAACACGGCGAGCACCTCAAGCGGCGGGTTCAAGCCCAACCTCTGCGCCCGCTGCCAGCGCTTGAGACGCGCGATCCCAATGCAAGGCTATCAACAATCAGCATTTTCTCCCAGCAACACAACATGACCGTGCAAAAGGCAAACGGTTAAACCTACCCCATAGTGCGAGCTGACATCAAAGTACCGCAGCACCTTCTCGCCCGTCGTCAACCCCTGCGTGTGCTTCTTGTGCACGGCCCTCGCCTCGCGGCCCGTCTCGATCTCCTTCCAGTACTGCTCGATCGCCCGGTCGCTGATCTTCTCCGCCCTGGCGACATCGGCATCACGCTGTGCCTGCGGCGCTGTTGCGGTGGTGGCGGCCTTCTTCTGTTCGTCGTCGGTGGATGTCGGGGTCTCGTCGTCGGCGTCCTCCTCGTTGTGTTCCTCCGATGGGAAGAGTTTCTTGGCTACATTGTCCTTGTGGGAAGTCGGCTCTGGCGACGGTTCGGGGATGTACTCCTTTGCGCGGGAGGGGGATTTGTAGCCCTCCTTGCCAGTCTGGATCGCTTTGGTGACTTTGTGCTTGAAACTGAGGGTTTGTTGTTTGCCGGGGCCGGTGGAAGACCGGGCTGATCTGCGAGTGGTGACCATTGCGACGGTGACGTCAGGTTGTTTTGTGAATAGAGAGAGTATTTCGGGTGGGATTCGTATGATGTAGTTATAGAGGCAGGGCGGGAGAAGAGAAGGCGGAAACTGGTCAATTCGAGGTTGGAGACGGATTGAATGAGGTCAAGGCAGGCAAGGCTTGGAATGCGAATTACGGCTGGACGCCCCGACACTGCGAGCCGCTGGCGGGGCAACGTGCCTATCACGATTGATGCGCCAACTCACGTGAGCTGAATTGCTCGGTGCTCTCACAAACTTAGCAGACAGGCACTCGCATTTGCGTTAGGTAGGCAGTGAACCCTGAAGAGGGACGACAATTGCCAGAGCCACCCCCCCTGGTAAGACTGGCGAAACTTCGTTCCGGTTTCAGCCCCTGGGCGAGAATTGAGTCCGGAATTGCAGAGGTTGTTCGCCAGCAATTAACCGCCCGACGGATTTCATTTCCCTGAAGCATGAGGTGCCATCTTCAGGTTGGAGATGGCTCTCTTGCTAGTTATGTAAAAAATCGTTTACCCTTCGGGTTCCGTGCAAACCAACCTGCCGAATCTCATGATCCCAATCCTCGGGGGTGCATTTCAAAAGGGAGAGCTTTTCGGGCAATATCAAATCGAAGCTCGTTCGTGCATCCCGCCTAGATATGGAATTTCCACCGCGAACTGGGTCAAGGACGAAGCTGGTGCAATACGGGATCCTGTTCGCAGCACTTTTGCCGCCTCTAAGGGGCTTCTGGACGTAGCTCGTTATCTCCAACTGCCTAGGGGGCAAAGAATGGAGCTCTCTTTCGGGTCGTCCAGTTCAGCGTCATATCATCGTTTTCTCTATCCCCGTCCAGAGCCACCGCCCCTCGCAAATGCCATGTCGAGATCTCCCAATCCACCCAGCAAAGCAGCAAAACCCCCCCTAATGCTCAAGACCCAGTAGCTTCCCGGTAAAACGCAAGGCTCCGGCTCGCGCCCGCGGCGCAAAACATTTCGCTCTTGCCCATACCGGGTCCGAGAGCCCGCTCCGTCTTGGGCAGCCACCTCACGCCCCAGAGAGCCGTGTCCGTCTCGCTGTGTGTCGCAACGCAAACGCCGCGTGCTACATCCCACACCTTGACCTTGCCATCAAGCGACCCACTCAGGAGGTACTCCCCGGTGTCGTTCCAGTCCAGCGAGGTGATCCACGCGGGTCTGCTGGTCGGTGTTGTGAGGTTGCCCACATGCTCGCCGTGCTCCATATCGTAGATCGCGATGACGCCCGCATTGCCGGCCGCCGCAAGACGTTTGCACCCAGGGGAGAACGCAACCGCCCTGACCGGCTTCGCCAGACCTACCACCTTGTTAGCAAACCCAACCAACACCCACCAAGTCCCAGTACCAACTCACCAGAAAGCGAATACACCATCCGCCCCGCATCATTATTAAACACATACACCCCACCACTCTCATGACCACTCGCAGTCAGCCGCCCATCACGACTCAAATCCACCGCCATCGCAAAACTCCCCCCACCCCGGGCGCCCGTCTCGTACGTCTGGATCTTCTCCCGGCCACTAATATCCCACACATGAATGCGCCCATCACTCGTCGTGCACGCCAGATACCCCTCATCGGCACTCAGCGCTACGGCCCACACATCACCACCCTCCGTCTTGGAGGGCGGCAGCTCCCACTGCAGCTGCCATTCCTTTGCCTCCTCCGACCCGGGCTTGCCGCAGGCCCAGACCTTGATCTCGCCGCCGAAACCGACGCTCGCGGCGATGGTGCCGGCCCCGCCCCGCGCCGTGCACACGTGGTGGCAGCCGAGCTTGTGGGCGTCGGGGATGGTTTGTTGCAGCGGGAAGGTCGCGTCCGTGGTGCTGTGCACGCGCAGTGCGGAGGAGCCGCTGGCGGAGAGGAGGGTGGTCGGGGTCGGTGCGAGAGAGAAGATCTCGGCTGGGTGGGCTGTGAGGTTGGGGGGGTTGGTTAGTGGGAAGCTTGAGGTGAGGAATGCATGGATGGATGGCGGGGTTGCGCTGCGTACCGTCGTCCACCGTGTGCGCGGTGAGATATTGTTTCGACTAAGTAACGTTAGAAATAGTATTTTCAGTACTGATTGGAAAGTGCTCTTGCCATTGTCACCTGCCCATAGATGGATTTTCGGTTGTTTGTAGTTTGGGTTGGGGAATTCGAGCTGTCGCTTGCAAGGTCGCAGCGAAGCAGCTGCAGGAGCAATGGTGGGGTAGTTGCAGCGAGATCCCGTTTATTCAGACGTCAGAGCAGAGCTATCAATTTGCCGGCCTCAGAATTATCAACACTGACAAGAGTGTTTCGTGGGACATGGTTTGAACTGCCAAGATTACCCAGCGCTTTTCTGCGAGGGCGTTTCATCTTTTCCTCCTTCTCGCACAGAGTTGCCAGAAATTGTCACATGGTGACAAAAGGCGGCTTGCCCAACAACCAGCCGCTCATATTGTTACAGTACATGTACACCAGATCCCGTCAACGCCTGTAAGATAAAGCCTAGGCAATGAATTGACGGATGCACCTCCGGCGCTAATTCCCGTTGAGCAACGCAAGCCACGTAGTCCTTAAAATCCTTTACATGCGCTGCTTCAATCCGCCTGCTCCCGAGCCTGCTTGTTCATCATTTCATTGAGCTCTGCATACTGGTTAGTCTGGGAAGTTTCGTCTCGTAACTGGCCCCTCTTACTTTTCGCGCAGTTCGGGCACAGATAGTGCATCCGCTTGATTTCGCCGCAAGCAGGGCACTTGCATAAAGAGTTGACATCCTTCAACGCCTTGCCCGCCATTTGCCTGTGCCTCTTCTTCATGTGTGATGTCTTCTTCTTGGGTACTGCCCTGAGCACGGATTCCCAAATATCTCCGAGAATTGACCCCAACGAGGGGAGCCCGAGTTGGAAACCGACGGGGACGGCGAGGACGAAGGACGGGAATAAGGGGGTCGAGAATTGCCGAACATGCAGCTGTATCCTTGATGTCGAGAACAGCGTGGGCGCTAGAAACCTCGGGAGAAGGGAGCTGGAGGGGGCCATCCTCATGGCTGGTGCTGTCAACGCCGCCATGTTGAGCCGTGTGAGAGACCGAAACTTCGGTTTCTGGTCCGTAGATCCGGCAGGGAGCCCAAGTTCAATTGAACTTCTCAAATTCCGTGATTCTTCCGCTGGGGTTGGGGCCTCTGCATGCCCTGTCGTCGTCGCTTCGCCGGATGCCGTCGTGGATTTTGCCGTCGTCTTGGTCGCCCAGAAAAACTGTCGGATGCATCTCAAAGTTTAACATGCCCGCCGGCAGGGCTGGCACGGTCCACTCCAATTCGGGTGCTCACTGCACGCTCTAACTCGATCAAGCTTGTGCCTGGGGCAGGGTCCCCACAGGCCAATCACGAGCAGCCCACTTCCCTCCCCCTTTCCCCAGCCAGCTCAGCGACCCCCTTGACGGAAATTATTGCTGGACAGAAGCTGCCGACAGGAAGGTACAAAGAATTCCCTTTCAACACCACACCCGACCGCATCCACCCGCCTTCAATTCGTTGCCTCCGGACCCCGTCGTCCCCGAGTTCCATCTAGAGGTCACCTCCACGTCGCGACAAGCGAATCTCGATTACTTTTTGGAATAGGACCCCAAATTATCCCAAACCAACACGAAAAAAATGGCGTCGATGCCCGCTGCCACCATCTACCCCCAAAGCCATGTCGGTTTCGACAGCATCACATCCCAGATTGAGCGCAAGCTGCTCAAGCGCGGTTTCCAGTTCAACGTCATCTGCGTTGGTTAGTTCTCGCGTCCCTCTCCTTACTGATGGCTAGCTCCACTTTGAATACGAGCCGGGATTGACGTGTCTCGCATTGCAGGCCAAACGGGTCTGGGGAAGTCGACACTGATCAACACCATCTTCGCGTCGCACCTCATCGAGTCCAAGGGTCGGCTCAACCCTGATGAGGTTATCCGGTCGACCACGGAGATCCAGTCTGTTTCGCATATCATCGAGGAGAACGGCGTCCGTCTGCGGCTGAACATCGTCGACACCCCCGGCTATGGCGACCTAATCAACAACGACCGCTGCTGGGACCCCATCGTCAAGTACATCAAGGACCAACACTCTGCGTATCTTCGGAAGGAGCTCACGGCGCAGCGTGAACGGTACATCCAGGACACGCGCATCCACTGCTGCCTGTTCTTCATCCAGCCGTCGGGCCACTCGCTTAAGCCCATCGATATTGTCGTGCTGAAGAAGCTGTCCGATGTCGTCAACGTCGTCCCCGTGATCGCCAAGGCTGATACGCTCACCCTGGAAGAGCGGCAGGCGTTCAAGGAGCGCATCAAGGAGGAGTTTGCGTTCCACAACCTGAAGATGTACCCCTACGACAACGACGAGTTCGACGATGAGGAGCGCGCCGTCAACAACCAGATTGAGGTGGGTTTCGAGTGCCCGGTTGGTGAAGTGGAAGAACAATAGCTAACGTATCGAGCAGGGCCTGATTCCCTTCGCCGTGGTCGGTTCCGAGAAGTCCATCATCGTCAATGGCAAGCAGGTCCGCGGCCGTCAGAACCGGTGGGGCGTTATCAACGTTGAGGACGAGAACCACTGCGAATTCGTCTATCTCCGCAACTTCCTTCTCCGCACGCACCTCCAAGACCTCATCGAGACGACTTCTCAGATCCACTACGAGACGTTCCGCGCCAAGCAGCTCCTTGCCCTCAAGGAGAGCAGCGCGCAGGGACATGGCAGCAGGCCCATCAGCCCGTCGGCGGATCGCGAGCTGAGCCGCAGCTCGCAACGGATGACCATGAACGGCTACTAAGCCCCGGGCCTTCTTCCCGGACGCATTTGCACAGTGTCCCTCTTAGTCTGAACGAATCCGAAACTTTGATATCCCGGCAGAACGGTGCCAAAACCCCCCCCAACCGAATACGGCGTCGAGGCAGGGTTGTGGGGAGGAACAGCGCGGCGCAATTCGATGCGGTTTACAGGTCATTAACCCTTGACCTATGGTGTTTACGTCTTGTTGGCAATCGTATTCGGTGGTTGGACTTCATTATCCCCCTATTCTCTTTTTAGTATCCGAAGCTCCTTCGCATATTTTTGCTGCCTCTTTTCTTTTTCACTAATCACCCCGGCCCTCCGTGCTTAATAGAGAGCTAGCTAGTTTCGATACCTGACGGAATACCTATTATGTGAGCAGAAGTGCGTTACACGGTGCGGGAGTGGCGGTGATCGGGCTGCCGTCTGCCTCTGGGAGTGTTACAATGTTGCTGTCCCGGTGCTTTCTCGTCCAGTTTTGAATGGTGTTGGTATCGGAGAGTGCTCTCAACGACAACGGCCGTAGCTTGCCTCACTCTCCTTGACGAACTGGGGTTAGGGTTCAGCACTTCACCTCGACGCGTCAAGCGCGTCTCCTATCGTACTCCTCCAAGTGGCAGCGTAACGGTAAATTTCTGCCAGCTGCTCGGCAACCACCACCTCCTATCATCTTACCATGTAAACACACACCATCCATTCGTACCGTCAGTTCCTTTTCAACATCTGACAGGCGTCATGCTAACATTTTACTAAAATGCCTAACCCTAACCTCGCGCCACCACAACCACAACCACAACCACCCCCTACCAGAGTAAGAAACAAAGGAAAAGAACGAGAAAAAGAAAAAGAGCGAGAAACAAAAACCATGAACCCAATCGTCTCCCTCGACCCCACCACCCCACTCGACCCCAAACCCCTCATCTCCGACATCCTCCGTACCCGCTACTGTGTGCCGGGCTCCGTTTTCCTAGTCGAGTCGATCCAGCGCAGCATCCCGGTTGCGGCGGACGGTTTAAGTTCCGGTCTTGGGTCTGGGTCGGGGACTGGTCTCCGTGGTGGTCGGCGGCAGTCGCGGCGGCGGAGGGGTCGGGAGCGGGCGGTGAGGCTGTTGCTGGGGGACGGGGAGCTGTGTGTGCAGGCTTTTGTGAGGGGGGAGATTCATTGTTTTGTGGATGGGGGTGGGGTGTATGAGGGGTGTTATGTGAGGTTGGATCGGTTTTGGTTGGGGGAGGTGGAGGTGGCGGGGATGGGGGAGGTGGCTGATGATGGAGTGGGGGATTCGGTGCGTTGGGAAGGGGAGAGGGAGAGGAAGAGAGGGATGGGGGAGGGGGGAGGGAGAGGGATGGTGGTGTATTTGGTGGTGGGGGATATGGTTACCGTTGGGTGGAATGAGGAGTATCTTGGAATGTTGAGGATGGAGAGGGAGGAGGCGGAGAGGGAGAGGCGGCTGCAACTCGAGAGGGGTGAGGAAGGTTTGGGGCAGGCAGAAGGGGAGCTGGTTGTGGCGCATGAGGTTCGAGAAGATGTGGGCAAAGAAGCGGAAGAGTATGAGGATGACGAGCTGATCGATCAGCTGATGGCAGTTGAAGGGAACGGAGAAACCACAGGTGCCGCAACACGAGAAACAACCACCACAAACTTCGGGCCCCCGGGAGTTGACCCGCCAGAATCTACGCAGCGGGATCCGAACGAACTAGACTACACTTCCGACTCCGACTCGGCGTTCGAAACCCTCGCAGTATCCGCCGAACGAGCGTCACAACGCCGTATTCTTACTTCCGCCCCCGACCCCCGACAAGAACTTCAAGCATCCATCATCAAGCAGAACCAAAACGACCACCGCCGCCAAAACCACCAACACGCCCAACCACAACCACAAGCACAACCCCAGCAACAACCACCCCAACCCCAACCCTTAATAACCAAACCGCGCCCCTGGCTCCCCACCTCCGCCACGCAATTCGTCAAACTCACGCCCCTCTCCCAAATCCCATCCCTCCCCTACCGCCAAAACTGGATGGTCAACGTGCTCGCCATCCTCACCTCCCTCTCCCCGGTCCAGCCCTCCCACATCGGCCCCTCCTTCGTGCAGCGCACGGCCCGCCTGACCGACATGAGCACGCCCAAGCAGGTGCTGCTGACGGTGTACCTGGATCCGGAGGGTTTTACCCCTCGTGAGGGGGGTGTGGTGTTGCTGCTGGGGGTGAAGAATCATTTTGGGGAAGGGGGGTCGCTGCGGAAGTATGTGAGCGATGGGCTGGGAGTGGGCGAGAGTTGGTGGGTGGCGGCGGAGGAGGGGGGGTTGGGGTGGTGTAGGGCGGGGGTGGAGAGGTTGGGGAGTTGGTGGAGGGAGAAGGGGAGGGAGGGGAGGGGGTAGGTAGGTGGTGGGGAGTTATTTACTATGGTAGGGGGTGGAAGTTGGTTTGTGGGTGGAGTGTGGGTTGGGGTTGGGAAGGGGTAGATCTTGTTTGTGCGGTAGAGCTGAGTTACCTAGGTACTTATTAATGGCTTTCTTTTCTTATGCCTATCGTGATCAAATGCAGGTTGTGATTGTGGCTGGTGAGATACGCTGGAGTGGCGTGTGAGGAGAAAATGGTAGTTGTGAATGGCTGGCCGGCCACAAATATACAGGTATTGAGAGAAAGATGTCTGTTTGTTTTATGTTGTAAAAAACGGGCTCCATACATGTCTCCTATATCGTAGTTCCCTTGTAAACAAGAGCTCACAAGTAATATCTAAGCCTAAAAACTCTTTTTGGGAAGGACCAAGTGGGTAGGGCGTGTGAATATACTTGTGCCAAACCTCACACAGCAACCGTCTATATCCCAGGGACAAGTAACTCATATAGTTTATATGGTATTGAGATAAGCCTCACCATTCTGTGCTTATCACTCATTATGCTGTTGATCATGTTCTGGATTCATACGGTGCTTGTTATGTGACTTTTCCTTTCGTCTGAGCACACTAGAAGACGCGCTTGGTCGTGTCAAGAATAATTCAATAATTATGGGAAGTTTGTGGAATCTGCTGATTCTCTTCGTTAATTTCTCTTCCCCCTATGACCCGAGTTTGAATTTCTCTCCTCCGTCTACGCTCCCAAACCTTCTCGTTCCCAAACCTCCCCACCGCTCCAGCCGACCAGACAACCCCCCCCCCTTCGTCAACCTCTACTCCTCTTATTTCTTGCTGTCTGACCCCAATGCCAACTAGAGCAAGGATGCCCGGGAACCTCGGGGCGCTCGTCACCGTCGAAGATGTTGTAGGAGTCCTCGAGCTAGGCGCACACATCCTCGGCTTCCTCGACGACCTTGAGGACCTCCGCAACGCGGCGCTGACGAGCAGGCGCTTCAACCGCGCTGCTCAATTTTACCTCTGGGCGGCGATCAAGCCGCCATACCTGTACGCCGACCCGAGGTGGGCCGACCGTCGTCCCTTCTGGGACCGTTTCGCGCCCTTCTTGCAGCGCAACACCACCTCTCTCCGGGTTGAGATGCGCGTGGTGGCCCCCGGTCTCTTTCGGGAGATTTCAATGGGACGATGGGAGGCATCGGCGAGCACCGCGGCGAGCGCGAGGTGGCTCCTCGCTAAGGAGGGCGTCGACTCCTTCTTCACCGGCCTTAAGGAGGTCCTTACGAGGACACCACGCCTCCGGAACTTCGTCGCTCGGGACGTACCCCGAGTCCTCGACCTGGTGGACCTCCTCCACCGCCGTGAGTTTTCAAGGTGCTATTAATAGTTTTTATTCAGTCAGCCGACTGACTCTTTGCTGTTACAGACCACCCCCAGCTCGCGGCTCTTGACATCACCGCCTCGCGGGATGATACCTTCGGATTCCTTTCCGTCCCCGCTTACAATCTGGATGAGTGGAAGTTCCGGGTCCGCAATGACCCAAGTTACACGATCCCCCTGGGCAACACGGTCAACTTCGGCCTAGATATCCATCTGGCCCCCGGTGTTCAATTTCACCAACCTGCGCGTCCTGCTCCTCAACAACATTCAGTACGACGGTCGCCGCCCCTCCCCGTTCCTCCAAAACGTCGTCACTCTCCTCAAAGGCTCGTCGAGCCTTTCTCACCTTCATCTCTCCCTCCGCCACCGCCTGGCAAGCATCGCGCCCAGTGGGCAATCAAGGCCGATCCAATACTACACGATAAATAACCTCCCGAACGGCCCTCACGACGCCCTGGGGACACTGTGCCATCAATACCAGGCAGCCGACAGCCAACCCCTACGCCTGAAAACCCTAACACTCGGTTACGGGTTTGAGATCCACGACAAGGTCTCAATTCAGCACGTGGGTCCGCTGCCGCGGCCGCATTCTTTGGAGTCCCTCACCGACCTCACAGTCCTCGAAGGCCTACACATGGACGGCCTCCACAACAAAGACGGCTCCCAGATAATTGAGCTCGGCCAAGACCACAGCTACTCCCTCATCTCAGCGCGGATCCCACCCGGCGTTAACCAACTCCCCCAGCTCCACAAACTCACCTAGCCCTGGAAACGAGGGCGTGTTGGAAGGTAGACCAGGAGGTCTGAGCACAGGAGGGTCAATGGGTCAAGGCCCAGAACGTGGTGGCAAGAGATCGGTCGGCTTAGGCCAGGTGCGGTTGCATGCGGTGCCGCCATCGCTGCTCAGAGAGAGATATCACGGGTTTGGAACCCCCCTTACAGAGGGAAGAGGGGGACAATGACAATTGACTTTGGCAGAGTCTCATAGCCTCCTAGGCTCAGCCGTGTGAATTCGAATGGAGATTTGTGGAGTATATTGCGGAGGAAACTAGAAGCGAGCCGTTTGGCTGCATTATATGGTGTTATTGGGCATTTCCAAGCAGTTGTGGGTTTAAAAATCATTGTACGGAAGAATCACACGGTGGCATCCTGACGAGTACATCAAATTACTCTCAGATATTGGGCCGCAAATAGCTCAAAAGGGCTATAGGGTTATCCGTTCTCTTGGCCAACTGATCAACTTAGCATCAAATGAACACAAAGATCAGGATTTTATCACGTCCTTAGTAAAGAGAATATGAGCTGAGAGTGGGAATGTCTGGACATGTGAACTTTTCCTTCAACAAGAACTTTTCCTTTAGCAATCAAAGCCATCAATAAAAACAATTGCATCCCACAGGCAACCACGACGAACACAACCCACAAAGCCGCATAAATGATCGCATTTCTAATCTCATCACCTCCTAGGAAACTTCGGGTATCGTAGACTGTAAGAGGCCCAATCTAAAAGGAGAAAACAGTCCTGTCATAAATCCGCCACAGAGCTCCGCCAATGCAATGAATGAGCGAACGCAAATGAAGCCAGCCCCAACTGCCAGCCATAGCCCATATGTATGTCAAACAAAGGAAACTCCGTCACTGTAAGCAAATGGGCGGCCCAGCCCCAGCACCAATTCCGAGATGCATACTGAGATACTCTCATCCACTCGCCCCTCCCGGGGTCAGCAGATCACCACCACCACCACCACCACCACTCCCACTGCCAACACTACCCTCGCCACCCTTACGCTCCCCCGCGGGGCTAGGCGCGCGACTAGCACTCCTACTCAGCCCGCCCATAACCACCTCCTGGCTCACCACAGCGGGAACCACGCCCGCCTTCTGCGCCACACCGCCACCCCCCTCACCACTGTTTTTGACCACCGTCTCATCCACCCCCCTCCCCTCCACCTGCACCTCCACAGGCATCCCCCCACCACCACCACCACCCATCTCGCCCTCCACAGCCCTCCTCCTCCTCACCTCCACCTCATCCCTCCTCACCAGCCCGCCTCAACGCCTCACTCGCCTGCACCAAGCCATCAATACTAATCGCATGATTGGTCATCTCATGATTGATGTACGTATACACCTCGGCAGGGCTCTCACAGCGCAGCAGGTGCGCCTCATTCAGCTTCAGCAGCGCGAGGGCGACCTGGAACAGGAACGCGGCGGCGTCCAGCGGCGAGCACAGCACGACGTCCCAGACGCGGAACAGGGCCTCGGCCGACAGGCAGTCGGTGAAGAGGGAGAGGAACCACTGGAAGGTCATGGTCTCGAGGTCGATGGCCAGGTCGTCGAAGTGGGCGGAGAGTTTGGGGAGGAGCTCGGCGACATACTGGCGCAGCACGACCTGGTCGGCGCGGGAGGCCAGCAGGGAATGGTCGAAGTAGTGCGGCGGCAGGATGGTTTCGACCATGGAGCAGAGGATCCAGAAGGCGTCCTCGGCGGAGGGGGTGATGAGGAGGAGGTTGGCCACGACTAGGTTCATGCCCTGGCAGTAGCCGACGTCGGGGTTGCGGCGGGAGTAGGCGAGTAAGACGTCGTGGAGTTTTTGGACGCCTGGCCCTTTGCGGAAGAAGATGTTGTCGGTGAGGGTGCGGGTAATGTCGGCTTTGATCTGGGCGACGACCTGGGCGTCGTCGGATGATTCCGGGCGGGCCATGAGCGAGGCGTAGTAGCCTGGGATGCGCAGCGCGTTGGCGCCGCAGCATTCGGACCAGATTTTGGAGCGCGAGGCGACGGGGACGCCGCCGAGGACGAGAGAGCGGAACTCGTTGGCCTTGGCGCGGCCGACTTTGCCTTGGATGCCGAGGCTGGCGACGCCGATCAGTTCGCCGTCGCCGAGGCGGGTTTCGGGCATGACGGCCGTGGCGCGTTGGAAGCGGGCTTCGGCGGCCGCGGCAGCAGCAGCAGCTGCGGCTTCGCCGTCTCGTTTCCGCTCTGCTCTGACCTTTCGTAGGAAGTCGTTCCATCGTACTGTCTTTTCCCGTTGTAAGGTGTCGTGGAGGTTGTTTAGGTTCTCGAGGAGCATCCTAACCGGCTCCGCGTCTTCTTTCGCAAGGGTTGCGGCAGGTGGCTGCTCACCCTCGCGTCGGGGCTGGATCTCGGTGTCGCTTGGTGTTATGGCCGCCGTGGTTGTCGCAGACGGCAGGAATCCTCGGTCTTCCGACATCATGCTGGGTGAATGGCCCGGCGACTTGGGCGCCTCGGCGGCTTCCAGCACCTCAAAGCCCTGAGCGCTTATCAGAGGCGTGTGCGAGAGCAGTTCCGTCGGAAAGGTCGCGATCTTGAGATAGTCCTGCCACCTCTTGGGCTTGGTGTCCTCACGAGGCTCTTCGGAGGAACAGGGCGTGCCGGGCCGCCCGTCGCTCCCAACGCTCACTTTTCCGCTGGAGCTGTCCTCCAACAGCACCGGAGAAAGCCCGTGCCGTCCATGAATCATTTCGGCACGGCTGTTCTTTTTGGCATGGCCGGGCCATTTGCGCGGCCTCTCGCTCGCGCTTCTTCCGTCGCTGGTCGTAGATGAAACCAAAGCGATCCGTGAGAAAGTCGGCGCTCGACGTGATTGTTGTAGATGTGTGTCAAGGTTGGCGGCTGGGCTTCGGGCGGCAGAATGGTGTCCATCTCGACGGGGCCGTAGTTCTGGTGTGGTGCAACCGGGTCTCCGCCAGGGGTCGATACCATAGTGTCCCAGCGTTCCGGGAGCTGTGTTCGCGATGGAACGTCGATGGGCCGGACGGGCCCGGCGGGTCGGCGCATTGCCATCAGAGCCTTCGGGCCACCCTGCGCTGATACGGCGCGGGTTGGACCACTCATGCTGAGGCTTGAGCTCGATTGTGTTCTCATCAGATCCTTGTCCTGGGCGTTGGTTGTGCGTCCGCGGGTATCGCTATCACGCCCCGCTGCTGCGCCTCCAGCCACAAGCCGCAAAGCCATACTAGCTAGCGACGGCTTCCGGGAGGCATTGCTCGAGTTGACGCTGGATGCTCTGCTAGAGCTACGCACAGAACCCTCCTCGGGGGGGTTGAACAGGTCTTCCTGGAGCGCCGGCCGTCGCTCTGTTGGTGTCGCTTTCACAACGGCGGTCGGCTGTTTGCTGGCCTCTCTCACTGTGTTATTAGTTCGTCCAGACTTTTTGGCCGTGTTGCCGCCGCCGCCCCAAAGGTAATCCTTCCACCCTCGTGTCGAGCCTCTCGCAGTGTCGTTTCCTGCACCGGTAGGCAAGGGCACCGAGCTCGGCCGGATGGTGGCGTCGTCAAAGACGTGACTGGGGAAGGGGTGTCGGAGGTCTTGGGCCATCGCATCAGTCATAAGATCCGAAAGTCCTTCCCTCGACCCTCGCCTCGACGTCCCGTTTGCCTTTGCTTCCTGTTCCATGGCCCGGAGCCGTGTCTCTATATCCAGGCTGGACAGGCCACATTCCAGGACGATCTTGCGCAGCGCCCGCTCCCGCTCCTCTGCGCGACGGCGCATGTGTACAATCTGAACATCCCGCTGAGCCAAGTCTTCGGCAATCTGGCGTACGAGGTTGACCGCGCCATGGCGGGTGATCAAGCGCTCGATATGCTCGTCATCGGCGAGGTGCAAAGCCCCAGGGATTTTGCGCGAAGCTAGCGGCGCATCCTCAAACAGGGCGCCGCGCGCGGGCGACACCGCCGTGTTCGTGAGATGATCGACAGTTGTAGACAGTTGCAACTGGTCCTGTTGGTTGTTTTGCTTGTTTTGCTCCTGCCCTTGCCCTTGCCCTTCCCCTTCTTCCGGTCCTTGCCCCTCTTCTTCCTGTCCCTTGTCAGAAGCGGCCAGGCTTAGCCCAGACGCTTTCCGAGGTGAGACCACCGGCGTCATATCATTGCCGCCGCGGAAATAACTGGTTCCCTCTTCGCGGGGCGAGTCGGGAGAGAAGGAGGGGAACGAGGTCAATGACTTGTCGGAGGGGGCGATGGAGGATGCCGAGCTCGACGGCTGTGATGTCAGCTTCTTCCGCGTGCGGGCGGTCGATCGATGGCTCCTTATTGACGTGGCAGATTGTTGTGATACAGAGCGCTCAAGGGGCGCCGAAAAAGCAGCTGTCGTCGTCTCCATGTCGTCGTGTCAAATTGTCGCATCGTAGGTTGTGAATCGCGTATTTGGGATGGTGTTGCGGGCAATAAACAACCGAGCTGCAGCGGGGCAATTCAGCAGCATGCGCTTAGGCCCATCCCACCTCTTGTCAACGTGATAACGTGATATAATGGCTTTGTTTTGCAGGAAAGTAGAGGTGGAAACAAAAACAAGGTGAGATTCCGCGATGGAACCTTGGAAATCTCAATAATCGGCCGTCGCCGCCGTCATTGGAAGCTCCAGGCGGTTTCGGTGTTGCACGAGTGTGTCATGCAGGACTGCGCTTCATGCCGCTCCCTGCCTGGAAGAGGAAGTCTCTAAATCGACGGTGTCCTTTCCATAATATGACGGTGTCTAACCCGATGCAGTGAGGATCGACCAGGCCCACCCAGGTCAAATACAGCAAAAGTTTGCAGCGAAGTACCTAACCCTGCCTGGCGCCCAGAGACCACGCCGCAAGATAGACTGAGCCGCTGGAAGATGCAAATGCGGTCGAATCGCTCAAGAAACACTATAAAAATTGAAGCTAATGGAATTGGAATAGAAACAGCTAAAACGCTTTCGGGGGGTCGCATTGCGGGGACCAAGGGCGGGCGATTCAACCACCAAGATATCGTGGATCGCTATCTTGATTGAACTTATAAAATGCGTCAGTTGGATTGGCGGTTGAACTGGTGGGTTTCGGGTACGTCGCTGCAAATTTTTGCTGTAGAGGGCCTCGACAATCCTAACTAAATTAGGTTAGACACCGTCATATTATGAAGGGGACACCGTCGATTTAGAGACTTCTCTGGAAGAAGGTCCAGTTGGGCCTAGCCCGCGGTTTCCTGGGCGGGAGATGCTCAGATTTGCAGCAACTGATTGGGTGGCAGTGCCAAGAATGAAGGAGAGATGCCCCACATTGTTCCAGTCTGTTGGAAGCTTCAGCGGCCTTCCAGCCGTGCCAGGTTCCTGCATCCGCATCCAAGCATTTCAAGCATTTAAGCACTTGATTCATAGCAGGATTCAAGATTCCTGTTGGACTTCCTTGTTTCTGCACTGCTCTGTCATTTATTCCGTACTTTTACATTTACATACTATGCAACGATGTGCATTCATGGAGTGCCATCTATCCACGATATCATTATTTCCATCCAGTCTTCTACTCGCAATAAGAGTACGAAGTAGAAGAGAACTTCCAACCCATTCATTCATTACCAACTGTGCTCTCTTGCCGCCAATGCGCCTTGTTTCGTGAGGATCTGACACGCTGTATCTTCAGCCCCCAAATTTCCAAGGCAACAATATTAGTACCTTCACATGTTTGTTGACTACGGATACCTACCTACCTGGGTGCCTTTTTTTTCCTAGAATAAAACGCCTTCTATCTTTGACCCCTTCTACCTCCCCTGTCCACCCCCCCAATATCGAACATTAGATCCCCCTTCCAACACTATCATCTCTCGTACTGGACATCCTCGACACCGCAGACACCATCGTATCCCCGGTCGCCGTCACATCACTACTGACGCTCGTCCTGGGGCTGACATGCTGCTCTCTAGCACCAGTGTTGTTCCCTTCCCTTGCCCCCACCGGCGTCACACTCTCTGCCATAGCATTGACGTGGCCGGCACTGCTGACATGGTAGTCAACACTGCCGACCACCGTCCCAACCCCGCTCCAGCTTCCCCAACTTCCTCTTGAATCCCGGTGCCGCTGAGACCTCCCTCCCGTTTCATTAGCAGGCGGTTCCTGGGCAAAAGAATACCCCGGCAACCTGCCATGCTCATGGCGATACGACGATCCCGTATCAGTGCCCGCAGCAGAAGCGACCGCAGGCCCTCGCAGCCCTAACAGCCCAGGGTGCGAACCCTTCCCCTCTCCTCTTATCCTCCCCAGCGCCCCTGGCGGCGGTGAGACGGAGCCCGGCGCAGGCGACCCTCTAGCCGACCCCCTTGCTGGCAGTGTCAGCGGCGGCGGGGTCGACACACTCGCCGGTGGCGTCTTAGGTAACGCCCTCGTAGGCGGTGGGCTCAGCGGCGGCGGTGGCGGCGGCGTCGCTACACCCCCCTTAACATCACCAGCCCCGTAACCGTACCCGCTCCCATGACCATGACCGTGACCATGACCGTGACCATAATCATAACCCCGGTCCTGACCCCCCGCATATCCACCCTCCGCACCACCACTCCCCCCATAACCAACAGCAGGCGTCACCAACCCCGGAACCTCCAACATCCTCTCATGCGGCCTCGGCGGCCTACTCGGCAAAGACGCCGAATCAGAGCTAGAGGGCGTCGCTTCAAGTCCACTCTCACTCCTACCAGTCCCATACTCATAAAAAGCGGAATTCGCAATCGGAATCTCATGATGCCTCAGCGACGAATGCGCCGTTCGACGACGCCGTTCCTCGCCGGTGTAACAGCTGCTGGCGCTGCCGCTGGCGCGGTTGTGGTCGCTGTTGTCGGTTAAGCCGTGTGGGGGCGAGTAGGGTGGGGGGAAGGTGCTGGAGCTGGGGGAGCCGGGGATGGGGATGGGGAGGGCGAAGAAATTTAAGTTGGGTTCGGGGAGGGTGGGGGGCGGTGGGGGGTGTGGTGGTACTTGTGGTTGTGGTTG